GCACCGAGCAGGCAGCCCCGCCCTCGGCCCCACCCCCTCCCCCGTCACCCCCGCCACGCCAAGAGACAGAGACGGCCGTCATACCGCTCAAAGAAGGACGGCAGTTTCCTCCACTTGGTGCTGAAGATGGCCCAGCCCGTCCTGGAGAAGGGCAAGGAGCTGGCGAGGGGTCACAGCCACGTGCTGCAGACCACCCCACTGGTGCTGGGAGGCGACCCATCTGAAGGCGCCTTTGAGGCGATGCCCGCTGCCTTCATCACGCCGCCCGAGGGAGCCGCCATCATTTCGTCAACGGACAGCAGCAGGAGCTGCCCTTTGCCGCCCCCACCCCTCCGTCACCGCCACCCCCGCCAATCCGTCTTCCATTCTGTCACAAGACCCAACTTTCCAGTCGCCGCAGACGAGGCGAATGCGCTGATCGGCGACCTTTCGCCAGGCACCAAGAGCGAAAAGGACGACTTTCAGGAGTGTGCCGAGGAGGAGGCGGGCGAGGTGCCGAGGGACGATGTGGAGGTGCAGCTGGATGGGTGAAGACGGTGTCAATAATTGAGAGAGACAGTCACTTTTGGTGCCATGTCGATGGAATGCCATGAGAGATGACACGTGTAGGGGTACTGCGCCCATGATACGATGAGTGAATGGCATGCAGCTGTGTGAGGGGCGGGGCCGACATGGGGCGAATGCAACCCTTGTATACTGACATTTCGATGCCTTTTCAACGTTCGGTTCTCACATGAATCTGTACAAGTCCATGCAGCGGGCAGTCACGAAACACGCCACGAGAGCATCCCTTCATCGCGGCACCCCAAAATCCCTCCCCCTCCCTCTCCACCATTCTACAGCTGGCATGGGCCGGGCGACCTGGCGGGCAAACAACAATGCAGCCCAACACACATCACCCGCAATGGAGAACCGCGCCCATATCCAAGGTAGCCAAACCGCACGCACCTGTTGTCTTTCGTCAAGTGTCAAGCCGTTTCAGAGTGAGCCGCTGGAGTCTCAAGTCGATGTCGTACCGCCCCTCCAGCCCCGCGATGGTGTTGCCTTGTGTCCGCTCCTGCACCAGCCGCAAAAAGCTATCTCCTCCAGGCCCCGACAGCCCGAAGTGGATCTCCTCGATGCCTCGGATTTTGAGCAGCGACTTGACGCAGGCAATGCCGAACTCGCCGGCGGCATCGCCATCACCCAAATCCTCAGGCACTGCGCACAGACAGGCATACATAACATCCAATGGGCTGGCGTGCGAGAGCTGCCGATTGTTGGCAGCTCACCTTCTACACGAAGATCCAGCCGTTTGATGGCCGGCAGTTGGTCCGCCATGTCCCCCCACGCCAGCCCGCCCTCGCCCACATCCGTCACGCAAATGGCCTCGAAACACTCCAACGACTTGTCCACGCCCACCGCCTGCAGCACGCCCACTGCTTGTTCCTCTGTCGGTTCCATGAGGTCAATGCTCTTGACGACGGGCATCTTGGTCACCAGCCTGCTGCCAATCGCGTACTGACGATAGACTGGCATCGAGAGACGCGATGCGGCCGGGAATGCGTTGTCGGGCATGTTGTCAAGCACAAGTGGGTCAGGCTGCTCGGCGTCCTCCGGCTGCCTGTCCGGCAGTTCGGATATCGCGACCCTCGACCTCGTCGAAGATGATGGTCTCTTCGCCCTCGCTTATTTCTATCGACTCCAAGGTGGTTGACGCCTGCTGCCCGGATGCTGTGGCCGCTGTGGCTCTCCGCCCATCGCTGTGGCCCTCCACCAATGCCGTGACGATCTTGTCCCTCATCAGCGGTAGAGGGATGTCTAAGTCATCATCGTGTCGCCGCTCTGGGATGCCTTTTGGGATGCGGAGGCCAGGGGGATACTTGACGACGATGGACCTGAGCCGTGTGAGCCGCCGGCCCCACTCGAAGGCATCAGCGAAAGAGAGGCCGCACCAGAAGTGCCGCTCGGCCGTGTCATAGGTGTCCATGACCAGCTGGGTGATCTGGCAGCCGACGTGGCGCCACAGCCGCTGGGGCAGCGCCGCCACCAAATGAAGCGACACGAACGAGAAGACGTAGGCAACGACAACAGGCTGAGTGCCACACACACACCACACACACACACACACACACACAGAGAGAGAGAGAGAGAGAGAGGAGACAATGAGGATGTGTGTGTTTGCCAGTGGTTCGTTTGGTGCATCTTACGACTTGGCTGAAGCACTGTGCAAAGGCCTCCAGATCTATGCTGTGGGCAGTGTGCGATGCCGTGGCCTGCTGCTGCTGCTGGTGCTGGCCGTCCGTCATTGCCTCCTGACTACTGGTCTCCTCATCTCTACTAACCCGCCTCTGCCGCTTCGCCACCGCCTCCGAATCGCTCATCGCTCAACACCAACACAGTCAATTGTCTACCGACCCGACGACAGCCCGACAGCATCCGGCCATGGCTGCACACAATGATCCATGCGTTCAAGTGAATGATCCCTGTGGACGAGTTGTGTTCGGTGCGCACTGCGCGTACTCCTCGTGTGCATTGTCCTTGGAGCCATCCGCAGCCCGCCTCTGCCGCTTCGGTCCGACCCGAGGCTGCACACCACACACATGAATTACAACAAATGCATTCAATGTGTACGGCTGTATTTCGTTCGTCGCTGAGTGGGTCTGATGCGCCATACCTGCAACACACTTGAATTCGTTGCTCCGGATATCCAAGCTCGCAAAGATGTCCGGGGATTCGGACCGGGCACCGTGGCGGCGTCGGGTCGTGATGCTCTGTGCGTTTGCTCACGTTACACACGGCTCTCCTGTTTGCTGTTTGCTTGTGTGCGGTTCTCTTCTCAGCTGCCTGCCGAGGCGGATGTGGTGCGCGAAAGGATTCGGCTGCTGCAGGACAAAGTCAAGGTGAGCGAAGGACATGAGAAAGTCTTCTTGCCGTTCTTAACATTGCTGCAGCTATGTTGTGGTGTAGCAGCAGCAGCGGGTGATCCGGCGTCATTCTTGTGCTGTGGGCCGTGTGACGCGGCCCGCGCTGCGGTGGTGAGGCCTTCGACCATCTCACGCAAGGAAGACTCCGCAGCGGAGGCGTGGACGGACGCAGCCGTGAGGGACGGTTGGGCACCACCAGAAGCACCGCCGTCGCACCGACTCGTGCCGGCGGTGGTGAGAGTGCTGTTGAGGTGGCTGCCGAATCACCGCCAGAAGAACCCATCGATGAGGTGCAGATACAGACAATGAGTTGAACAGAGAGCGGTGGAGACCGTACGGTCTCTGTGTTCGGTGTTGTCACTGCGCTTCACTCAGGCGGCCGCAGCTGATTCCGATTTGAGTCTGTCGGCTCGGCCGCTGCACTGCGTGAGCACCAAGACGCCCAACCTGCCCACCGTCTCGAAAGGTGAGTGGGTCCACACACACGAGATGGAAGCGCGAGACGATGCGGCATATGTGTGGGTGTGGATGCAGAGAGTGTGTTCGTGTTTGGCGAGGACCAGCGTCTGCCGAAGGAGGACACTGAGACGGGCAGCGAGCTGACGACAGAGGACGGCACAGAGGGAGCGGCCCAGCAGCCGACGGCGGGCTTCTGGAGCAAGGTGTGGTCGTTCATGTTCCCGGAGGGCATGTGCTGCGGCTGGTGCAGGGAGGGACACACACACAACTGACCCAACACACACTCACACATAACAAACACCCACAGACTGACTGATAGGGACAATAGGGGCGGGAGGAGACGATGGGGATGGCCTGGCTGTAGGGCTGGGTTTCACAGAACCAGAGAGATACGGCTGATATGGGTGGCCTGCCTGCCAATGGTGTGTGATGGTGTTTCTTTCAACATCAGCGAAGCGTAACGCTGTGATGTCTCCGTCAGCCCACACTCACCTAAACGCACCAGACTGACACGCGTGCCTCTTTTTCGATTTGTCCCGCTCTTTGTCTGTGATTTGTCGTCATTTGGCTGCCCTGCGTGTGCTGATTGTAATGTGTGTATGTGTGTTATGTGTGAGTATCTTGTTTGGTCTGTCTGCCCCGCCAATTTGTGAGGGCGTCGTGTGGCTGGTTCCGCTCATGTGTCGTCTGCCCGGGTGCCCGAGTGACTGACTGTACGGTATCTTTCCTTCCATCCACCACTCATCCCTCTCTCTGCTCCCAGCACACATACACGAGGGCTGGCTGGCTGGGCTGGATCACACACACGTAAGGACGACACACAGGGAGGCAGGTGTAGGTGTGCGCATGGTGCTCTATGCCGCAACAGACAGACAGACGGACAAAGACTTTGGCTGGCTGGTCGGATGGGTGCCGCCTGTGGTGTCTCGTGGGTTTCATTTTGTCGTCGATCAATCTGTATTTTCTCCATCTTTTGTTTTTCATGTGTGTTGGGCCTCGGGGGCACTCAGTGTCGGTCGACTGTGCTTATGGGCGGTTGGGCGAAGTCACGGAATGGTTGGGAGTGTCGGTTGTCATCCGTCTTCCTTTTGGGGGAAGAATGTGTGTGGCAGAGGTGGATGGATGGATGGATGGATGAATGGCTGTCGTCGTTTGTCGGTCGGTCGGTCTTTTCTGTCACCGCAGCGCATTCCCTCGTCAGTCAGTCAGTCCCCTGCTGCTCTGCCCTCGCCGCTCCTCAGGAGTAGCGGGGGATCGATCGGCAGCTGTGGACGGGCCGGGCCGGGCGGGGCAATGCAATCAATGCATTGCGTGTTGTGTTTGTTCGTTTCCTCGCCACACCGCCTCGCAACCACTAGCCCATCACTGCTGTTTGCCTTCCTCTGGCCGCGCCCTTGGCGAGCTGAGGAGAGGGGCAGGAGTGGACACAGATGGATGAGCTAATCGATCAGTCGGTGGTTTGACTCTGTGGGCGCTGTGGAGGGGTGGTTCCCTCTGGTTTGTCGTCGATCGATTGGGCCGTGTGCATCTTTGCTTCTCCATTTGTGTGTGTTGTCCGGTGACTGGTAGTCTCGACGCGTCTTCTTTTTGGAGAATGAATGTGTGAACTGTGGAAGCGAGCGTCCATCCATCGCCTTGTGTGGCAGCCAGCCTATCGACCACCCAGTCAGTCTATTTATTCGTCTGTCTGTCTGTCTGTCTACAGACAGACCTGAGAGCATGCCGACCGAGTGCCCGGCTGGCCGCCTTTTGAGACAAACACTGCTGTGCGGTGGCTCGCCATCTCTGGGTTCGCCCGAGTGACAAGAGCAATGAGTAGGTAGCGGGGGATGACTGGCTCACACCACTCGAGAGAGTGCCACAGATCCACATCCATGTCATTGTTATGAATGCATGCGCGTGTTTTCCATTCTCCCTGTTGGATTTGCAAGCCTGGTGGCGTGAAGCACCCTTCCTCCTCTTCTTCTCTCGACGGGATGTGCTAAGCTCGCAGAGGTTGAAGAAGAATCTTGCCGAGAAGAATGGCTGTGCGTTGCCTTTCTCGCGCAGGAAAGGAGCAAGTTTGCTGCCTGACCGTTTGGTAAGGTGTTCCTGTGGTAGCGCACCCTCAAATTCCGACAAACATGAGTGACATGATGCAACGACGCGCCGACCGCCACCAGAGGGCATAGACGGCCGGGCCAAGATGGACGAGAGGGTCATGCAGCCGTACATCCATCGCACTAACTGTAAGCGGGCCGGGAGAAACAGCACGACAGACGGCGCGTCATCCTCTGTCCTGTGTGCGTCTGTGTGTGTGGACCTGCAGGAAGCTGTAGCAGCGTAGCGTAGCTGATCTCTGGTGTGTGTCTGCTGGGCGATGGACGGCCCGCCAGCCAAACGCCCTCGTACAGCCCCTCCGGCCCAGAGCCATGACTCATCCAACAGCAGCGCACCGAAGACCCTCACGAGCCTTCTGGATGGGCTCATCTGGCTCAACGTGTCATCGTATGAGTCCGTCAACGAGCGCCTGGCGATGAGCTGTGTCTGCCGGGCCTTCTACTGGGCCATCTACTCGCTGATCCGCGTTATCAACTGGCACCGTCCCAACCACGACCTCAGCTGCACGGGGCCCAACGGCAGCCTGGTGACGTTCGAGCAGCAGCAGCACGCCGTCATCCTGCTGCCCAAAGAGGAGGAGGTCGAGGAGATCGGCCGGGCGCGGCTGTTCGCCTTCGTCTCGCTGCAGCTGGTCCACCACACTGACACGCTCAAAGCCATCCAGACGACACAAGCCAAGAACCAGCGAGATGGACACGGTGATGCAGATGGTGGCGAAGCGTCTGAGGAGGACGCGGCGAGCGACCTGCCGGTGGCACAGGTCAAGGGGCCCGATGCGGTGTTTCCGTCGGTCACGTCGGTTGAGGTGGACAGCCTCGATGGACTGCATCTCTTCCAGCAGCAGAAGCTCGTGTGCCCAGCACTCGAGCGCCTCACCGGCAAGGTGGTCTCCGCGGGCGAGTGCATCACCGGCAAGGTGGTCTCCGCGGGCGAGTGCATCACGGCAGACTGGCCCCCCTCCGTTGCAGCCAAGAGGGCCGCATTTGATGGCAGCCTGGCTTTTATCCTGGGCTCGTCCCGATCCCTCAGCCACCTGGACATCTACCCACTGCTGTGCTGCTACGAAGGGGAGGCTGAATCCAGCGTACCCCTCACTACCGCTGCCCTCTCATCGCTCAAGAATCTGCGCCACGTCGGCCACCTCAAGCTGGGTGGCAGCGACAGGGAGACCAGCAAGCTGGTGACGTTGCTGCGCCAGCTGACGCCCCGCGGCGGTACGGCGGCGTCGTCCAGCAGCGCGTGTGATGCCCCCTCCCCCTCCTTCCCCCCCTCTCCGTCGGGGGCCTCCACAAAGCGCCAGCTGAAGATCCACTGCCCCCTCGACATCGTCCGTGACCCGTTCGATCGACCCTACATGAGCGGAGACTCGGTGGGGACGATTCAGGCGGCAGAGCAGATGGGATGGGGAGTGGTGCGGCAAGGAGGTGTGACACGCATCGAGTGCGGCGATGAGAGCACAGAGGGTCCGCCGACTGCCGAGACCCTCACATGGGTAGAGACCGTCAAACGGCACGCGGGAGGGGGCGACACCGTGTCATTGACGACTAATTATGGCCAAAGCGATTCCACCAGCCTGCACTTCAGCGGCATCCGGCTGAACAACGCCAGGCGCCTGGAGGTCGAGCTCGCCAAAGACAACCAAGATGTCGATGCCGGGTCTTTGAACGGCATCCCACAGTGGCTGACCGAGGAGGGCACGCTCAAATCACTCTGGTGAGTGAGACAGAGAAAGAGAGCAATAAAGGCGCTTCACGTAATCTCGCTGTGGATGTGTGTGTGGATGTGTCGATTCAGTAACGTGACGGAGCTCTACCTGACGGACGACGGTCTCAAACATGAGCCGACTTGCGATCCCGAGTACCTGATCCCTCCCCCCACGCCCAACCGACTCTCGCGCCTCCTCTCATCCCTCCCCGCCCTCACACACGTGTACCTCGGGTGGCCTGCCGTGGACAAGCTGTGGACGCATACGGTCAGCGGCATCGTGGCCTCTGAGGCGCTCGCATACATTCAGCAGGGCATCAAGCCAAAGCCGCTCAAGGTACATCTATCTGGTGTTGCCATCCACCATCCATCCGCGCATAGTGTGCCTTATCAGTCGACCCCGCATTGTGTGTGCGCCGATCAGAAGCTGGAGATGGCATATGACGAGCCGCTGTCTCTCACCCGAGCCGCCCCGGTCGCCTTCCCCTCCCCCCAGACCACCCGCCAGTACCCCAAAGTGCAAGAGCTCGCCATCGAGATCAGACCCATCGATACGGAGTTTTTCGTTGACGAGAACTTTCAGAACATCTACAACGCGAGAGCCGAGAGCGTCCTCGAGCGGCTGCGGGACCTCTTCCGCCTCGTCCATGAGCTGCGGCCCAAACACGCCACCTTCAAGCTCACCGAGCGAGCTGACATCTTCGCCGCACCTGAAGCCGCTGCCTTAGTCGAGAGCGAGCTCATCTTGCTGTTCATCCAGGGCCGTGTGCGCAACGACATGGCCGAGTACGGCATGGAGGTGACGCGACCGACCTACGCGCGGTTCGATGGTGAGGACTCGTCGATTGAGGAGCTGGTAGTCCGGCCGGCCGAGCACGAATTGACCGTCGAGATGGTGATGCGGCCGTGGGAGGGCCGGAGGTGGTCATGGTGTGGGGGGGCTCGGGGGACTGAGGGGATGGGGGGGCTGGAGGGGCTGAGGAGATGGTCATGGTGATGGGGGGGAGATGGGGCTCGACGATGAGGAGGGCTGGAGGAACTGAGGAGGGGAGGGGAGGGGGGAAATTGTTAGTTGCCGGTGTGAATAGCTAGTACTATCTGTCTGTCTTCCTGCCCTCACCTCGCATTCGTCACCCACGCAGATGGGCAAACCCCTCTGACAGTCAGACAGCCAAGCCAATACAATACACAGACAGCCTCTCCCTACTGCACAGATATCTCCATCTAGGATGCTGTCTGTGTGTATCGGTGTGGTGTCGTGTGCCACAGCAGCCACCCACACTACTTGCGAAGTCTAGCATGCGCGTGTGTGAGCGTGATGGATGGCCGTTTGCGTGTTTTCGGACAAGCACTTGGCTGTGTGGGAGTGTCTGTCAGACTGTCTGATGGCCGGGATCACTCACGGCCATGGTCTGGTCACGGCTGAGCGTAACTGATCGTATCCAGCACCGCTCGTGAGCAGCCAAACACGTGCCCCGCAGATCACGGCGGAGCAGCTGGATGACGAGGGAATTCCATCATCACCCCGCCGACATTCAACAGCATCTTCTCACCATCAGCCGCTTTCCTGGTGTCTGCAGTGTCCTTGCTGATGGGTGACGAGCCCTGCGTCGATGGTGGTCGCGTAGCCGATTGAGTGATCCCAAAAATGGTTGGTGTGTTGCTCTGCCTGGCCAGGGGAGATGCGAGCTTGTGGCGAGAATCGCGGCGAGAATTCGAAATCTCGCCGTCTCGAGACGGTTTTGTCAAAGAAAAGAAACAGCAGACACTTTCCACGCCCCAGCTCTCCTCATTCCTCAGTGTTCGCCTCACATCTCCTCCGTTTTTTCTCCTTTTTCGGCTTAAATCGGCGGGCGCCATCCGCTCGAGGCCCACGCGGCCCCCTCCGCTCGCCGTTTGCGAAGAGGACGAGTCCACCTGACCGCCCCTGACCCGCCCGCCCGTCAGAAAGTGACTTCAGCCTGAGGCTCCCTCATCCTTTGGTTGGCTTGTGTGTGGTTCGTCCCTCCCAACTTGTCCGAATGTCGTCTGCCATTCCCTTCCTCTACCGTTGTGCCGCGAGGGAGGCCTCGAGCTCAGATGTGTCGCCCTGGCTTCTGCTGAATGGGTGGAGACTGCCTGACACCTGTCTGGCGTCAGCTGAGAGCGCGGGCGCCTTCTTTTGTCTTCAACCTTGAACATTGTCTCAGGTGAGTACACATTCACATCGTTGGATTGAGTGCCGCGTTGGTATGGTGTATGCATGATGTCCGAGGATGACTGCGTGGTCCTGCGGTCATCTGATTTGGTCATCTCATGGTGCCTGTTGGCGTGTTTGTGTGCAGATGAGATTTTGGGGTTTTGTTCTGATGGCCGTCTCCTTTTCTCAACGGAGTCCTCAACAGGTGAATGAAGCATTCAGTGGATCAGGTGTTCAGGGTACACTGAGAGTGAATCAGTATTGACGCTAAATTTGCCCTTGCTGCTCCACAGACAACTCGTGTCGGCTCCAGGCAAAGAAAAAGAAAGACGGTGAGCGAAAACAAGCGAGGAAAGCTGAGCATATTCTCAGTGTAGCGCCGCCGTCGACAACACGAGAGTAGGCGGAAGTTTCCCCCCATCGTCTCCCTCTGTGCAAGAAAATGAGGGCCAAACTCTTCTCCCGGTCGCCTCGTGGCCTTCTACGCATCACTCAATCGAACGGGCTCAATCAAACGGGTAACGAAACCCGGCCCCGACTTGTGGACGCGGATCGACGCCACGGCAACACATACAGCAACAAGCACCCTTTTACGGCCCTCTCCTCTTCTCCTTGAAACCATCAATCCCACTCCACCGCCCCTCAACAGACACACGCACGCATACCAAATGAATGGACAATATACTGAATGAAGACCGGCAGCCGTGTGTGTGTATGTATGCTTGTATAGCACGCTAGCTCTTGTTGTTTGGGGGCTTTTGTCGTTTGTTGCGGCCGTAGACAGACGGGTTTCCTTCTGGCTTTGTTCGTGCCAGTGTGACGACACTATGATTACCTTCCGCGCAGGTACGCACGTGAAGACAGACACAAGAAAGAGGATTACACACATTGTTCAATTCTGTCACTCACATCTCTTCCACTCCTCTGTGTGTCTGTCTCTGCTTGTCTGGCCTGCCTGCTCCTGGCACTCCTTCAGATGCAGGCAGGCCGCTATGTATGGACCAGCATCACGATGGCGCCAACTGAGCTGCTCGCCACGAGGACCATCTCTCAGGTACGTGTTTCGCACACACAATGATGATGGTAGAAGTGCTCCTCTGACTTGACATCAGACTTGACGGACGCCAGCCGTGAAGAGGACGATCAGCTGCAGGTACGCCTTTTCAGAAGGAAAGAAAGGTCAGCGGGAATCATCGCTTTGGAAAAATAGATCGTGTGGCATCGCATGCGTTTCGTTTTGCCTGTATTGCTCTTCTGCCTTCAGGACACAAAGTGGGAGGTGAATGGTACAAGGCAAAGCTAAGCCCCATATATTCCCATCGCATCAAGCTTCTGCCAGTGTCGCCATCAGTTCACTCCAAGGCGACGGCGCAAGCTTTAATCGTTGATTTCGCAGCTGAGAAGTTCTTTCGAAGGTACGCAAGACGAAGGATGCGACATATTCTATTCTATGACGTTCCTTATGTCTCTTCTGTTCTTTGCGTGTCTCTGCCCGTCTGATCGCACGCGCAGGCCGCTACTCCCATTCCATGCTGTTAACGTGTCAGAGTGTTGGCAGACAGCCTCCGGCCCGATACTGACGTACAGCGACATACAGACAGAGACATACAGTACACTCGGCCATCGCTCCCTGTGTGGTGGCACTGGTATGTGTGTGACCTCAGTGAGCAAGCCCGTCTCCCTCTTCAACCGACTCAAAGATACCGGCATGGATGGCCTGCTGCTATCGTTCGAGCTGAGCCGCTTAAGAATGGCGGTCTCCAGCCGGGAGAGGGAGGGATTCATGTGCGTGTTCTACCGAGGGAGCAGCCCACCAGCCACCACCACGAGGCTGCCACAGACGCGCCGACGCCGACAGCGCCGGGCGCCACGACAGAGGGAGAGGGAGAGGAGGGAAGAGGCAGTGCCGCCGCCATCGCAACTGCCCCCACGGCTGCCGGGGAGGGAGGTGTTAGTGTGCGTGAAGAGGGCGTGTCGATGCCCGCAGGCGGCCATGACACCAACAACGGGTAAGGCCACACGCAGAGAGACTTCCATCTTATTACCCATCTCATTTGGTCTGTCTGTGTCTGTGTGGACGCCTCGTTTGGTCGCAGAGTGTCCGATAGTGTTGACGAGAGGGAGGGGGGCGTGCCCGTGACGATCGAAATGGGTACAATAATGACACACTCAGAGGACTTCCATTCTGTTCTGTCTGTGTCTGCGTGAATTGCCGATATCAGATCGTCCTTTGAGGTGCAGGGCCAAGCCGACTCACCCACGCCAGCCCCCACACCACCCATCCCAGCCCCACACCCAGCCGCATTGCCTGAGGGGGACAACGACAACACAGCTGCCACCGCCCCACCAGCAGCACCAGAAGCCTCACCCGCACCAGAGGCACCAACGGCACCAGAAGCCACCGCACCGACTCTCCACAAGGCGGCCGAGTGGACTTTGGAGAGGGGGACAGCGTCGGCTCATGGCGTCGCCATCGAACGCGCCGCTGTCTCCTTCCCGACGCTCCGCAACGGCCCCCTCACACTGCCAGTGGTGCAGAAGACCATCAGGATGCAAAAGGAGCGACTCGAGCCCGCCTTCCTCTATCTCCTCACCACCCAGCGTCCCGAAGAGAGCCGCCCCCCCACCGCCCAGCCGCCCCATGACCTCGCCAAGCTCGCCCACAAGAAGGGCGCGGTGCCGCCCGCCGTCCGGGAGGCCCTAGAGGAGGCCTTCGCGGTCCCTCGGCCGACGACCAGCTGACAGGCACCTCGCCGAGGCTCTGCAGCAGCGCGACGGCCCTCCTGCTGCATCCCACCCCCATCCCCATCCCCTTCCCCACCCCCACCCCCCCATTTGGGGTTTGTGGCTGCGTATCCGCGCCCGGCCCCGCTGCGGCCCATCTACACGGCCACGGCCACCCCACCACTGATGGGACCGCAGCAATACCAGCAGGTTCCCCGCACGACGTCCGCCGCACCACGGCCACGGCCACCTATCCACCCCAGCGGACCGGGGCCTGCTGCTATCGTTCGAGCTGGGCCGCTTAATGGCGGTCTTCAGCCGGGAGAGGAAGGGATCCATGTGCATGTGCATGATTTATCGAGCCAGCAGCCCACCAGCCACCACCACAAGGCTGCTACCGCCGCCGCATTGCAGCCCGCCAGAGATGAGAACAGCCACGGCCCGGCCGGCGTGACAGAGGAGGGGGAGAGAGAGGAGAAGGCCAACAAAGCCGCCCCCACGCCAGCAGCAGCACCAGAGCTCCCCGATCTGAGTAGCCAGCAGCAGCAGAGTGGAGAGGGCGACCAGCCGACCGGCAGAGAGGAGGAAACGGAGGCCGAGAATGTAGCCGCCTGTTTTGAGAGTCCCCCTGGCCCTGCCGAGGAGGCACCTGAAAGCTGTCGTGAGGCGGGCGCGTCGGCGCCTCGAGGAGACCAGGACGACCACAGCAGGTATGTAATGCCACACACAGAGAGTGCCACATCGTCCTGCACATCTCATTCGGTCTGCCCTGTCGCTCACTGTGTGAATTGCTCGTTTGATTGCAGGTTGTCCAGGAGTGTTGAGGAGGAGAGGGAGCAGAAGGAGGGCGTGTCTGCACCTGGAGGCGGCCATGACACCAACAACGGGTAAGGCCACACGCAGAGAGACTTCCATCTCATTAACCATCTCATTTGGTCTGTCTGTGTCTGTGTGGACGCCTCGTTTGGATGCAGAGTGTCCAAGTGTGTTGAGGAGAGGGAGGAGGGCGTGTTGGCGCCCGGACCACCCATCCCAGCCCCACCCACGGCGCCACTGCCCGAGGAGGACGATGCCGACAGCACATATGCCACCGCCCCACCAGCAGCACCAGAAGCATCAGCAGCACCAGAGGCACCAACGGCACCAGAAGCACCAGCACCAACACTCCACAAGGCGGCCGAGTGGACTTTGGAGAGGGGGACAGCATCGGCTCATGGCGTCGCCATCCAACGCGCCGCTGTCTCTTTCCAGAGGCTCCGCAACGGCCCCCTCACACTGCCTGTGGTGCAGAAGACCATCAGGATGCAAAAGGAGCGCCTCGAGCCCGCATTCCTCTACCTGCTGACCACTCAGCATCCCGAGAAGAGCCGCACCCCCACCGCCCAGCCGCCACCTGCCCTCGCCAAGCTCGCCCGCAAGAAGGGCGCGGTGCCGCCCGCCGTCCGGGAGGCCCTAGACGAGGCCTTCGCGGGCGAGTATGTATCGGCAGGCGTAGGGGCTCTACACCATGGGGGGACCGATCTACTCGCTGTTCATTGCGAGTGGGGAGGGGGAGGCGCCGCCCAAGCAGCAGCCCGGCCAGGACGGCGTCGCTGTCGTTGGCAACATCGACCGCCAGAGCGACGCCCGACGCCAGCCCCTCGGCAGCTTTCTTGCGCTGCGGGTCCTGCTGTATCCGCCTGGCGAGGGGTCGGCGCTGCGTCTGCTGGACAGCGGAGCTCAGCCGACAGCGGCGCAGGAGGCGGGCATCCAGATGGCCAACGGCAAGCGGATCAACCGCACCAAAATGAAGGAGATTGCCCACGGGTGGCAGATCAGGAAGAAGATGAAAAGGCTGGTGGGGAGCAGCAACTTCAAGGAGGAGGACGACTGGCAGGTCGGTGCCGTATTTGCCGTCACCGCCAAGTCATAGACCTGCTGATGAAGACCAACGCAATGCATAAGGTGAGAGACACAAAGGGACAGACGGACAGACAGACAGACAGGGCAGAGGGATGGAAAGGGTGAGCTCACCAATGAATGTATTCTGTGTGTTTGTGTGTGTGTTTGTGTGGTTCAGGTGCCTGTGCTTAGTGTTGCCAAGGCCGTCGCCAGCGCCCCAGCACCAGCGCGGTCCAGACGGCCGAGGAGCTGCCGCCCCGCTCCACGTACGTCGCAACCACACGACCTTCGACAATATCCTTGTCGGATTTGTCAAGGCCAACGCGTCGGTGGTGCGCGGGGGCAGTCGGCAGGTGGTGGTGCCGGTGCCCACCTTTATCGATGCCGCCGGGCAGGAGAGGGGCAGTTTGGTGACGCGGGGCGGACGAATGTGTGCGTGAGGAAACCAACTGAGACATCAGCACAGCGACCACTGTGATCGTGTCTCTTTGTGTTGATGTGCAGGTCCGATCTCTGCCTACATTTTATATTTGTCGACTTCTCATTTGATAACGGCGCGCAGCTGAAGTGGCAAAGTGTTTCGAGCAGTATCAGAAAGGTAGCGAAGAACTATAGCCTGTTGAGGTCAAAGTTCAGCTCTGCGGTACATTTTGTGTGTGCTTTGGTGTCTCCTGCAGTGCTTAATAAGCAGCAGGGTCAAGATGGCGTTATCGACGCCGCTGGGCAGGAGAGGGGCAGTCTGGTGACAAGGGGGGGCAAGACGCTGGCGGTGCCGTACGAGACACACATCATGAACACACTCACCTCCGCCCCGCCCCACATCAAGGCCGTCATCGACCCCTCGCGCACACGCAACGGCCCCCCCAGCACCCCCGCGGCAGTCGGCGAGTGGGCGCAGAAGCACTGGGGCTACCCCGGCTGGCAGCCCGACGTCGACCTGTGGACGGTGGGCGGCACGGCACTGTCATTTCTGTATTGCCACCAGATCCTGCCGGACGTCAAGCAGGACCTGCCAGCCGTCACCTTTGACGAGACCGTCATCGGCACCCAACAGCAGACGGCGGAGAATCCCAACAGCAGCCCCATCCCCTCGGACCAGTGGCCGAGGCGCGCCGTGTGGGCCACTGAGAGGAAGCCTGACGAGGAGGGCATCGACGAGTTGCAGCTGCTGGATAGGCGGCTGGATACCCTAAGGCAGTCGCGACAGACGCCAGCACGAAATCCGCCGCGACAGACGCCAGCACGTCTTCCCCCCTCACAGTGCCTGTGGTGCAGAAGACCATCAAGACACCGATGGAGGGGGCCAAGGGCGGTCACCAGAGTGCGATAAGAACATGAGACAGAAGGCACATTAACTTACCCACAATGATATGTCTCTTTGTTTCTGTCGATAGGGCCTGGTGGCCTAATTGCTGCCTGCATTTTATATCTCGAGGTCTTTTACTCCCATTTCATGCGCGCCCGCGTCAAGAAATGCAAGCGACCAGGTAATTTGCGGTCTGATGTAGAAAAGGGTGATCTCTGTGCCTATGGCTCTGTGTGTGCAAATGTGTTTGGTGCAGTTGGGGACGAGCCGGGAAAGAGGGACAGCCGGGAGGAGGGGAGAGGAGAGGCCGACGTCGAGGAGGGGCGCGGCGCGCCGGCGACACTTAGTGAGGGTGAGCCAAAGCACTCACGACAGCAAGGCGGATGAAATGGGCGACTACGGTGATGAGATGAATGACCTCTGGTGTGCTTTCTGTGTGGCGGTCCTTTCATCAATCAGTGTTGCCCAGTGGACAGGAGAGGGAGATAGAGGCCGCCCGTGAGGGAGAGGGAGGGGAGGAGGGGGACAGCAGCCCACACGACAGGTGGGTACACGACACGCACACATACACACACACACACAGAGAGAGAGAGAGAGAGGGAGAGGGAGGGAGAGGGAGAGAGTCTCCCCTTTAGTGAAGCAGCGCTCTCACTGTGTGTCTGTTTGTCGTTTCCCTTTGTCCTCAGGTCGTCATGCCACCATGCCGCACCCACCAGCCCACTTGCAGCAGCAGCACCGCTGTGCCAGGAGGCCAGTGAGGGCGCACACGCCCCCGCCCCGCCAACAGCACCAGCAGGACCACCAACACCACCACCCACAGTAGTGCCGCTCTCCACCGGTGCGGCTCGGTGGACGCTGGACGGCAAGGACGACGAACCCCGTGGCATCGCCAGCAAGCGGCCCACGGTGACCTTCCCGGTGTTGCAGAATGGGCCGCTCACCTTGCCCGTCGTCCGCAAGGTCATTGACGCGCCCGAGAGCCGTCTGGAGCCCACCATGTTGTATTTGCTGTCACGGCACCATGCTGCCCCCAAGAACCCACCGCCGCCGCCCGAGATCACCATCAAGAAGGGCGTGGTGCCGCCCCTGCTGAGGCCGGCCATCGAGCAGGCATTCGGCGGCGGGTATGGTGGGGCAGAGGGGCTGCTGACGCAGGGCGGGCCCATCTATTCGCTGTTCGTCGCGAGTGGCGAGGGCGAGGAGGTTCCGCGGCAGCAGATGCAGCAGGGAGGGGGTGAATGTAAGCGAATGCACATCAGTCCATCCATGTGTGTGTGAGTACACGAGTGGTGGATATACCCTTGTGTCTGTCAGGCTGTCCGGCTGATCGCCTGTTGTTGTCGTTTCTCAAGTTGCCCCGCCAACCTGATCGGTCATGAACGGCGCCAAGGAGGTGGAAAGGAAGAGGGTAAATGAAGCAGAACGAATGGAAAAAGTCGGCAATGAGTGCGGATGTTTCTGTGTCTGCTGCAGATGTATCGTTGCCTACATTTTATATCCCGAAGAATCTCTGTTCTCATGCTTCTGCACTGTCCAGTCAACGACATCCATTCTGTAAGGCAGGAGCAGGAGCGGCGAATGACTTTTGTGATAGTGAGTTTTGTGATCTGTCTGTGTGTGTTTGGTGCAGGTGCGCCTGTATCCTGGCTTCTAAGCCCTTTCAGCGATGCATAAGGTGAGACACGAAACAGATCGACATGGTGCACTTGTGTGTGAGTGGTTGTGTTGTTCAGGTGAGAATGTTTAACGCAGCCGACGCCCTCAAGGCCATGCAGTCAGGAACCAGCGCCGTCCAAACAACCGAGTCCCTGCCGCCGACTTCGACGTATGTGGCCACCGACGCCACGTATGACAACATTCTCATCGGTCTCACGAGGATGGCCGCTGGTGCAGAAGGCCATCACGACGCAATGCCATCGGACTGACGGACAGGGTGGACGGATGTGATGTGGTATGTGTGGTGTGTCGTGTGCGTTGTGTCACAGCGAGTTTGGGCTTCCCATTCTGCCGGTCCACGCGCACCACGAGACGTTCATCGATGCACTGCGAGACCACCAGTGCATCGTCCTGCACGGCGCCACTGGCAGCGGCAAAACCACACAGGTCCGTCAACCACACCCAAACCCACAACACAAACACCAACCCACTGTATTGGTCCGTCTCTCCTCTCCCTCCCTCCCTCCCTGTGTGAGTGTGTGCAGCTTCCCCAGTTCATTTTGCGTGAGGCCCTGCAGACGAGCCGTGACGTCCGCATTATCGTGTCGCAGCCACGCCGACTCGCAGCCACAAGCGTCGCAAAGTGCGCACCCACACCGACACACACACAAGACACGAGCAAAAGCCAGCATCCATCCATGTGTATGTCAGGCGTGTCGCGTACGAGTGCATGACGCGGGGTTTGTCCAAGGACGGCCAGCACCAGGTGGGCGGCCTGGTGGGGTGGCAGATCGGACAGGAAAACATCAACGCATCAAAACACACCAAAATCCTCTTCTGCACCAGCGGTAGGTAAAGGGAATGGGCCACACTCACTCACTCACTCACTCCCGCACCGACACACACCACTGCGTGTTGCTTCTGGATCTGCATGCAGGCATCTTGTTGCGCCGCATCGTGGGTGCGATGAAGGAGAGCCAGGGAAGTGCGAGTGCCTCGGCGACGGGCGACGATTTCAGGCGCTGGACGCACGTGGTGGTTGACG